CTGGCCGCGACGACTGCTGGGAGCGAACTGAGAGGTCAGACAAGGTCAGATATAATCGTCATCTAAGTCCTCGCTGGTATGCTGTTTCTGAATTTGACTTAGAGGCACGTAGTCTGTTGGTCTAATGGCTTACAGACATGCTATAGTGCTCGGTCACCTACTAACGCCTCGCCCTCGAAGCGCCTTAAATTGGCCTCAAAGGGTGACCCAACTTTGGCTGGCACTGATTGGCCGGTCATCTCGTTCTTAAGTGGCTGCTCGTGCTTGTCGTCCTCTTCTTCCTGGTCTTTGGAGAAGTTATCCGTCCTCAACGTCCACACGTCTTCGAAGGTCTCGCACAGGTCCTCCTTGACTTCGGATTCGTCTAGACTTCCCTGTACTGGATCTGCGGGCGTCCAGGCAGGCGGCGCCCTCCCACAGCATCCTGGGGCGATTGGTACCTGCGCTGGGGGAGTTCCTGCACTGGATCTACGAGCGTCCTGGCAAGCGTCGACCTTCCACTACATCCTGGGGCGGCTTAATGCCTGCTCTAACGAGCATCCTGGTCCATAGGCCTATGGCGTATATGTAACCACGATTTCTTAAAGCCGCCTTACAAACTGGTGGCAGAGGTGGTCGTTGCGTCCTTTTGACTCTCATCACGGACACACAGTCTCCGAAATCCTCTCGACCAGCGCTTCCACGAGACGACCATGTCTTCAAAACCACTTTGAGTACACGTCTTGGGCCTTTTCTTTTCTTTTCCCTCCATTCTTCCCCCTGGCTGGTTCTAAATTTGACTTAGAGCTTAGTCTATTGGTCTAATGGCTGACAGACATGCTATACACACATCGATATATAATTTCAGTAATTAATAAATGCATTAACCAGTTATTTATGTATGAGCAGAAAGAAATCTCACGATGATTAATAAAAGAGCAATATAATAAAAAAAATAAAGCAAAAAAACAAAACAAAACATTAACATTAACTTTCTATTTATATGCACGTATGTGCATATATGTATGTGTATGAACGTGCGTGTTTGTATGAATTTATGCGCCTAGTATTGTATGCAAATGAAGCACATAGGCTGTATGAGTGACAAAAAAAGCAAATATGAGTCTTTGTTTACGAAATGGATTACGAAGGAAAAGCTTCGTACAGAAACCCGCGTCTTATTCAAATTGCCCGCTTGTTGTGCCATCTTCTTCCTTTTCTGTTCTTCCTTTTGGTATCTTGCTTCTTCTCTTCTTCCATCTTCTTCTTTTACTTCTTCGTCCATTTCCTCTTCTTCGATTGCTTCCTTTTCCCTTTTTTCTTTTCTTTTTTTCTCAGCTTTTTCTTTTTCCTTTCTCCTGCTTCTTCCCTCTCCCTCCCCTTTTCCAGAGAGAGAGAGAGAGAGAGAGAGAGAGAGAGAGAGAGAGAGAGAGAGAGAGAGAGAGAGAGAGAGAGAGAGAGAGAGAGAGAGAGAGAGAGCGAGCGAGCAAAAGATGAGTAGATAGATGCATATGTTGCCAAATAGATGAATAGATAGATAACTAGATAGCTAGATAGCTAGATAAAGAGAGAGAGAGAACGAGAAGGAGAAAAAGAGAAAGAGAGAGAGAGAGAGAGAGAGAGAGAGAGAGAGAGAGAGAGAGAGAGAGAGAGAGAGAGAGAGAGAGAGAGAGAGAGAGAGAGAGAGCGAGCGAGCAAAAGATGAGTAGATAGATGCATATGTTGCCAAATAGATGAATAGATAGATAACTAGATAGCTAGATAGCTAGATAAAGAGAGAGAGAGAACGAGAAGGAGAAAAAGAGAAAGAGAGAGAGAGAGAGAGAGAGAGAGAGAGAGAGAGAGAGAGAGAGAGAGAGAGAGAACGAGAAGGAGAAAAAGAGAAAGAGAGAGAGAGAGAGAGAGAGAGAGAGAGAGAGAGAGAGAGAGAGAGAGAGAGAGAGAGAGAGAGAGAGAGAGAGAGAGAGAGAGAGAGAGAGAGAGAGGGAGAGAGAGAGAGATAGAAAGAGAGAGAGAGGGAGAGAGAGAGAGAGAGAGAAACAAAGAGAGTAAGATGAAAGCAAAAGAGAGAGAAAAAAATAAAAAAGGGGAAACGCTTACCGAAAATTGAAAACAAAAATAAAAACCAAAGAAGAAAATCGGAACAGAAAATAAAAGAGAAATGGAAAGAAAAATGGAAAGAGAAGATAAAAGAAAAGAATGAAAAATAGATAAAAAGAAAGAAATGAAATCAAAATAAACGAAAAGAGAGAAAAAGGAAAATAAAGCAAAATGGACAGAAAGGGATAATAAAACAGAGAAAAAAGTTAAAAGAAAGATTAAGAAGAGAGAAGCGCAAAATAGGCAATAAAAATGGTAAAAGAAAGGGTCAGAGAAAGAACGAGAAGAAACGGAAATCAGCAAATTTGAGAGAACAAAAAAAAAAGAAATATAAAAAAACGAAAAGATATGAAACTTAAACAAAAAATCAAAATCGGTAAAAAAAATAACGCAAAGGAATCGAAAAAAAAGAAAAAAAGAAAAAGAAAAAGATCCAACAGAAGAGGAAGAAAAAAATAAGAGAAAATGAAAAAATCAAGTGAAAAAATAATGAAAAATATCTGAAAGAAGAAAAAAAAGAGAGGGAAAAAAAGGAAGCAAAAAAAAAAAAAAAAGAAAAGAAAAGAAAAAGAAAATAATAAAAAATAAATAAAATAAAATAACACTAAAATAAAAATCAGCAAATCAAACAAAAGCGCATCGCCCCCCCCCCCCCCGCCCTCTCTCGTCGCCGCCGCGCAACTCAACCAAACAAAAGACTGTCGCTCGTTTATTAAATCTTCGTCGACTCCCTATTTCCCGCTCGCGTTGTCGATAAACACAACGACATCAAGGAATTATATAAAACGCTTTTGAGCCACATTCTCCTCTCGACGCGGCTCTCTCCAAAGGACTTCTTTAATTAAGAGAGCTTTCGTACAGCATCCGTTGCCGTTCATTAATTTTCTCTTCTAGGCTTCACAAATCGGTGCTTGATAAAATGAATTTAAAAATAAAAAAATGGTCCTTTTTACATGAGTGATCTTGGAGGGTATAAGGGCATAAAAGGGTTAAGAAAAATAACTCGTCTTCAGTCTATGTAGATATGTTTTTTTTTTTTTTTTTTTTTTTTTTTTTTTTTTTTTTTTTTTTTTGATACTCGTTAATTTGGATATGTTGCGTAAACTTTCATCTTTTACTTTTCGAGACAAAGTTTTGAGGCTGTGAGACAGATGGTCTTTTTTTTGTGTATTATATCACACGTCGGACGGAGGCTGTGATGATGCTTTTCAAGGCGAACTGGGAATATACATGCAGGTCTCTTCTGTCTGTTTGTCTGTTTGTCTGTTTGTCTGTTTGTCTGTCTATCTGTCTATCTGTCTCTCTCTCTCTTTCCCTTTCTCAGTCTGTCTGTCTTTCTGTTTTTTGTCTATGTCTGTCTGTCTGTCTTTCGTCTATGTCTGTCTGTCTGCCTATCTGTATGTCTGTCTGTCTGCCTATCTGTATGTCTGTCTTTCTGTTTTTTGTCTCTGTCTGTCTGTCAATCTGTATGTCTGTCTATCTGCCTGTCTGTCTATCTGTCTGTCTGTCTGTCTGCCTGCCTGTCTCTCTCTCTCTCTCTCTATCTATCTATCTCTCTATCTCTCTCTCTATCTCTATCTATCTATCTATCTACCTATCTATCTATCTATCCATCTCTCTCTCTCTCTCTCTATCTCTATCTATCTATCTATCTATCCATCTCTCTCTCTTTCTCTATCTATCTTTCTATCTATCTATCTATCTGTCTATTTATCTTACCACACATATATACACCAATAGCTTAAGCCAATCCTCCCCACAGCAGCGCTAGGGACCAGATTCGCTAATGATTTTCTCATGAGAATTTAATGGTAAGCGATCCTATTTCTGTCGTTTGGTATACGCACATACTTACACAGACACATACACGTGTACAACAAAGTCTATGAAGATATACATGCACAAGGCAGTGTTGCCGTATTTTCAGGGTGGCTGATCGTGCATGATAAATGTTGCATTCAGTCGTACAATGGATTATTGGGCCTTAGAAGTTGATCTGCTGGAAAATTGTGGCCAGTAATACCATTGCTGTTTTAAGTGTTACTTGTATATATATATATATATATATATATATATATATATATATATATATATATATATATATATTTTTTTTTTTTTATTTATTTATTTTTTTTTTTTTTATTATTTTTTTTTTTTTCGATTTTACTTTCTTCTTCTCGTTGTTCTCGCCATGTACATAAACACAAATTCACATGGATAGATTTATAAAAAAAATGAAGGAAAATATCATAGATATACAGTTAATTATTTACTTCAAAGCAAAAGTTAAAGAAATCTCTATTGTAGTAGTAATAAAATTTACATTTTTTACTATCATAACGGTTGTAACTGTTATCATATGATTTTTTAATTTTTTGTTATAGCATATTACATAACTTATTTATTAATATTAACACTGTTAACATTTTTAAGCGCATAACATTTTTTTTCAACGTGAACAATAAACTTCCTATGATTAAGTAAATACAATTAGAGGCAATTATGAATTATCATCGTCTATCGCATTATTTTGATTTCCCATTCACATTATTAACAAGGAATAGAGGAAAATGAGGAATAGAAGAAGGGTAAACAACAAAGAAGAAGAAAGGAAGAGAAAATGGAACAAGAAAACTAAAAACAAAAAAACTAAAAAGTAAACAAAAAAAAAAGAAAAGAAAAAAAAAGAAAAAAAAAACAAGCATGGAGTTTCGACCGGCAAAAAGGATCCCCCTAAAAAAACTCAAGAAGAAAACGAGGAAAGAAAATATATTAAAAAAAAACCTGGCCATCTCTTCGATCTGTGCCTTCGGGCTGTTTTATGCCTATCGCACTGAACCAGATCTCGGGCCGTGGGATCGTGTGTGTGTGTGTGTGTGTGTGTGTGTGTGTGTGTGTGTGTGTGTGTGTGTGTGTGTGTGTGTGTGTGTGTGTGTGTGTGTGTTCTTATGCGCTCACTTGTGTCGAAACTTTTGCATATCTTGAGGCAAAGAAATGGATGCATGTTTATAATGAAAATAGCTGGGAGGAAACTTCGCCGTGTGTTTCTTCGGAAGATACACACACACACATACACACACACACACACACACACATACACACACACATACACACACACATACACACACACATACAGACACACACAGCCCCCCCCCCACACACACACACAGATACACATATCAAACATATAAATGCACACATACACACACAAAAAAATGCAAACTGAAAGAACGAAAAAAAAGAAAATATACAGGTCCTCAGAAACGCATCGATACCCTCATCCCCCCCCCCCCTTGTTCGTGACCTGTGACCTGGAGATGACAGGTCAGCGCCCTCACCTGCGGCTGAATGGGCCAGGCGTGAGGACCAGGGAAAGAGGGGGGGTAGAGGAAAGGGAGTAAGGAGGGGTAGAGGCGTGGGTAACCCTGAGAAGAGGGGGGAGGGAGAGGGAGGTGTTAGTCCGAGAGGAGGAGGGGAGGAGGCGCTGGTCTGAGAGGAAGGGGTGGGGGGGGCGCTAGTCTGAGTTACCGAGGTGTCAAGCAGATTCCCCAGGGCGGGATACCGGCTCTGGGAACCCTATTTCCCCGGGGGGCGTTTCTCCCCACTTGCGCTCCC